TGAGGTGCCTGATCTACCTTGGTACGCTATAGAAGAAGGCATCCAAAAGCTTAGGGACATTGGTGTGTTGGAATGCATCTATCAGGATATTACCATAGACCCAAAAAGGGGGTGTCCTGAGGACATATCCTTCACCACAGCCATAAGGAACAAGTTTGTAAAGTAGTCCCAGCATCTCTTAAGACTCCTGTAATTGCTATTTTATGTGCACTAGGATTAACAGTGGGCACTGCCCTAAGCGAACTCTGACAGGGACGAACAACAGAAACTATGGGGGAAGAGAGACAGCAGTCGGTGTAAAATATAAAAATAATAATAATTTATCAAGGGGGAGGGGAAAAAAGGAGCTGATACCAAGGGCTCTAATAGAAAGTAAATGTTTAGAAAATAATGATGGCAACATATATACAAATATGCTCGATACAATTCATGCATGGATTGTTCTAAGAGCTGTAAGAGCCCTCAATAAAATGATCTTTAAAAGAAAAGAATGCTTTGTACATGTTTTGATACTTAAAACATTAAAAGAATAGTATTTAACCACATGAGAAAATTATTTGAAATTCGCCCCTCAATGTGCATCAGTAAAACCTTATGGAGACACAGCTGTGCCCATTGGTTTTTCTCACGGGCTCTGCTGTCACGCCCCAGAGACAACGCTGAGTGGCTGTGAGCGAACCTCTCTGCGTGTCCCACAAAGACAAAAATACTTACTAGGAGACAACTTCAAAAGAGTTCTTGGAAAATCGCATTATCTTTTCATTTCATTTTCCATGAACTTTGTGAAGCGCCCCCTTATTTTTAACCCTTTACAGAAAAAGCTTGCCCTCCCCTGCTGTCCTACCTGCCGGCTTTCTCCTCCTGCAGAGGTCTTCTGAAGGGTCTTGGAAGCTTACAATTCCAAGAATGGGCAATGGAATATGTATCCCATCATATTGTGGCACAGGGCGTGTGTGTATGTGTTTGAAAATGTGTTTTTGCTCGGGCGAATCTGAAATTCTCAGAATGGCCTTCTGTGTAGGAGGAGTGGAGGTGTGTGATCTAACACCTCTCTCTCTCAGCCTGTGCTTCCTCCTGTTGGTTTTTGAATTCCATAGAACTTTTTCTCAGGACTTAGCAATACCATACCACTTAGCTCTTTGAACACCAACCCTGGGGTGGCAAAACCCTTTCAGGAGTACATGAGGACATGAAATGCGGAGACAGCTGATTAGTGTATTACCTCAGAGCTTCTCAGATTTCTTTTATAATCTGTCAGCACTGGTTTGGAATTGGGCAATTGTGATTCTTGAGTTACTGTTTATCTTGCTTGCTTCATGGGAGCCAGAGAGAGGGCCAAATAGCTTCTGTTTCCTGAAGGAACCTCGGTTCCTTAGTTTAGCTTAAAAAGCCACTTTTTGGGAGAAAGAGGGAATCAATCTCAATGATCTCTATATAATCCTATCCCAGGGGGACAGACAATAGAAAAGTGGGTTAAGGGAAACAGCAATCAGTATAAGACATGAAAAAAAGTATTTATAAATTATCAAGGATTCATGGGGGAGAGGGGAAAATTAGCTGATACTAAGGGCTCAAGTAGAATGAAAATGTTTTGAAAAATGACGATGGCAACATATATACAAATGTGCTTGCCAGAATGGATGTATATGTAGGTTGTGATAAGAACAATAGAGCCCTCAATAAAATGATTTAGAAAAAAAAAGCCACTTTTCATCCAGGTATTTCCATCAGGCGTATCGACTAATTCATCCCTCCAACATTCACGTGCCAGCCCCATCCACCACAGTGTCATGCACTGTACGATAGGGGCCAAAGCTTCGGAATAAACAAACTTGGGTTCAAATCCCAATGGATCACTTTCTAGTTGTGTCATTGGTTTTGGGTTTTGTGCCCTTTTCACGATCTGTGAAATGGATTTTTATTAAACTCTTTGTTTATAATACTTTATATACTTTTTTGTTCTGTGTCGCTTTCTGAAAATACTCTTTCTCTCTGAAAGCCTTCTCTCCTCTTCCTTTTTCCCCTCTCTCCTCCCGCCTGGCCTTCTCACCACCCCCCCACCCCCCACCCAGCCTAGGCCTCTGCCAGCAGGTGTCTTCTTGCCTCCTGAGCTGATCAGGAGAAGGGTGTCGAGACAGAGTTGGATGGTGGGTAGGATGAAAGAGAGGAATCTAAGATGACGCCAAGTTCTCAGCCTGTTCTCTTCCCATCGCAGAGACGTTGTTAGTTGCTATCAAGTTGATTTCTCCTCTAGTGACATCACGTCTGCAGAATGGAGCTGTTTCCTAGTGTTCTCACGGCTGCGGCCTTCTGAAGCAGATCACCAGCCCTCTAGCAGTGCCTCTGGGCAGGATTGAACCACCAAACTTTGGGCTAGTAGTCGAATGCTTAACCATGTGCACTACCCAAGGACTCTATCACTGGATACCTTATATATCCAAAGGACAGATTCAGTATTAACCTCAAGGTTGCTATCCGTTGTCTCCATTCCTATGTAAATGAAAAGTTATTCTAAGCCTGGTCTGGAATAGAACCTTTTAGTGTTGTTAGCTGCCATCCCTTCAGATCCAACTCATGACGGTCCAAGCAAGATCGAGCAAAATGCTGTCTGGTCGCAGACTGTATCACTGTGACCCATGGAGCGTTTATTGGCTGCTTTGGGGGGTTGGATCAGCAGGCCTTTCATCCTATCTGTCTTAGTCTGGAAGCTTCACTGAAACATGTTCATCATCATAGCAACATGCAGACTTCGACTGACAGGGGTGGTGGCTGCACTGAGGTGCACTGGCCAGGAATCGAACCTGATCACCCACATGGGAGGCAAGAATTCTACCACTGAACCACCAGTCCCCCCTCTTGCATTGCCTAATGCAAAAGCTGCTTCTGGGCAGGAGTGGACATTTCTGACCAACATGTTAGGTGATACTTAAAGGGGATTAAGACTAAGAAACCTGATAACCACTCACGCTGCTGACTGTTCTGCTAAACTCCAGCCATTCTTCCTTCCTCTTCCTTCCTTCCCCGCAGTCTTTCTGGGTGAAATGTCCTTGCAAGAGCACATCTCTGACCTGACCTGCTAGTGACGTTTCCCCTTCAATACGGTTGTTATAGAACTTTGACAGAGGCTCAACTAAGTGGTCTGGAAGGTTTATTTTGGAAAATACTGCTCATGAACACATTTCTTTTCTTTTCTTTTTTTTTAACATTTTATTAGGGGCTCATACAACTGTTATCCCAATCCATACACACATCAATTGTGTAAAGCGCATTTGTACATCGTTTCTCAAAACATTTTCTCTCCACTTAAACCCCCGACATTAGGTCCTCATTTTTCCCCTCCCTCCCCGTTCCCCCCTCCCTCATCAGCCCTTGATAGTTTATAAATGGGTATTTTGCCATATCTTGCCCTGTCCGACGTCTCCCTTCACCCACTATTCGGTTGTCTGTCCCCCAGGGAGAAGGTCACACACAGTTCCATGTAATCGGTTGCCTCTTTCCTACCTATTCTCCCTTTACCCTCCCTGTTTCGCCACTCACACCACTGGTCCTATAGGGCTCATCTGTCCTGGATTCCCTGTATTTTCAGTTCCTATCTGTACCAGTCATGAACACATTTCATTGGAAAGCAGAAGCATTGGAAAACAAAAGTGAAAAACCTCAAGCGCTCCGCCTGAAGCGGGAAAGGCACGGCAGCTGGCGAGGCAGCCCTCGGTCCTCGTGCCTCACTTTACTGCCTTTCCACAGTGACTGCGTTTCATACCAACTGAAGTCCCGTGGCAGCCCCGTGCCGCGCAAGTCTGTGGACGCCCTTTTCCAGCTACGCGGGACCGCATCTTACCTCTGTGCCACGTTCTGGTAGTTGTGGCCTTCCTGAGTTTTAGATGTGCTGGGAGACCAAGAAATTCCCTCCATTCACTTCACTTTTGTTCTGTGGTCTGGATCCCAACCCACCGCATCTCTGAGGTCTGCGTCTGACACCTGAGCTATTAAAATAAAATTCATTGCTGGGAACCGATGGCACAGATCTACGTATAACCTTCTCTCTGGGGGACAGACAACAGAAAAGTGGGTGAAGGGAGACGTCGGACAGGGCAAGATATGACAAAATAATAATTTATGAATTATCAAGGGTTCAAGAGGGAGGGGGGAGAGGGGAGGAAGGAGAAAAATGAGGACCTGATGCCAGGGGCTTAAGTGGAGAAGAAATGTTTTGAGAATGATGAGGGCAATGAATGTACTAATGTGTTTTACACAATTGATGTATGTATGGATTGTGATAAGACTTGTATGAGCCCCTAATAAAACGATTTAAAAATAAATCAAATTCATTGCTAAACTGTGGTTTCATGCCATCCCCATAGACATGCCCCGAAGTGCCTTAATTAAGGTTGCTCCAAAGCCCACCCCCGCCAAAAAGAGTGAGGCATTCAGTGTTTTGATGTAGCACATCTCTACCCAATACGAACATGCTACACTGAGAATATCCCGTCATTAGAGATATGCTTTGTCTTTAGATTTTAAAAGCTTTCAGGATCTAAATCACCTATTTTCTGGAGGTAAAGAAACTGAGGCCGCAAGAAGTTAAAAGATGGCCTGGGTTTGGCCACCAAGTCACAATTTCCGCCCAAGGTCCTTTTCGCTGTGTTTACTGTTGTCGGTGCCGGTGAGGGGGCTCCCAGGGGCAGAGACGACTGGGGTAGTGGAAACAACGGGCTGTCCGGCCCTGCGCTGACGTCATAATGGCTGGCCTGCTCCAGCCCATGGTTGCGGCCAACACTCCCCTGGACAACTTTGCGGTGTGACCCACAGTGTTCTCATTGGCCAGTTTTCATAGCAGATCACCAGGCCTTTGTTCTGAATCCCTTTGTTGCAGAGCACACAACCCCAGTGAGGTAGCCTTACAGTAATTCCGCTTTCATTTCTCTAGTCTAAATTACTTGCATTTTAAATGGTGTTTCAGCAACTAAAACGAACCTTTTCTTTCTGCCCGTCTCTTTCAGTTTCCTTTTCGAGACAATCTCTTCCAGTCCATGTATTCCCCGCTGCAGCTGAAGTTTTTGGAGACTGTGCACACGTTATGTGGACGAATCCCCCAAGTGTTTCTGAAGCAGATTGAGAAAACAATGAAGAGGGTTTATGAGAAGCATGTCATCTTCCATGTCGGCCCCGACAGGATGCACTGACTGCTTCATCCCTCCTTCCTCTCTCATACTGAACTGCAAGACATCATTCAGGTGCCCGGCGATCAAGGCAGTGTGACTCTGAAGCCTGCCTCTTCCTTGTATGATTCTTGAATGGTGCTCCTGGACTGTCGAGTTTCAAAGACTTTGTTAAGTTTGTCTCAATTAGTGCACCCAACGGGAAATACGCGTCTCCTTGTTTGTTTGTTTTTCTAAAATGCTACTTACCACTCTGTCCTTTAATATATATATGTACATATATATATATATATAAAATATTATATATAAGATATGTATATATATAATATTATATATATATAATGCCTCATATAACATTGCTTCAGTAGAGTGAGCAGTTTGAAAAGCAGCATTGGTAAGCCTTCCAATCCCTAGAAAGTGTCTTAAGCCATTTCAGTGTCATCTGATCTATTTAGACAACATTCCTGAGACTTCCTTTGCAAACCCTTACCAGTATAAAAATAACACATGATTCTTTAACAAAATAAGAAGCTCTTTTAGAAAATCTAGGTAAATGGAGCAAGGTCATGATTAGATTAGCATAACCCTACCAACCAATGGAAAAGGTTATTATCATTTCAATGTACTTTTTTCCTGTCTTTTTCCCTCCCTGCTCCAATATTTATTCAGTGATTGTCTTTTCCATTATAGTGCATATCTAAAACAGTCTGAGTGAAAGATGGCCCCTATTGTGAGATTTTCATGTAGGATATAAAAACTTAGGTAAGATAAAAAATCATGCACGAGAATAGTATTCCACGTACAACCCTGTAACGGTTGTAATAATCAACAAGAATGTCTGAGTAAGATACCTGGATCCATGGCGACCTCACCAGATGTGGAAAGACAAGCGGAAATACACCTGAGTGTGTGTAATTCTGGCAGAGAAGAAATCTACATATATACTTTGTACGTACTACAGTAAATTGGTGCTGGCAAAGAATAGTGAAAATACCGCGGACTGCAAAAGAACACACAAATCTGTCTTGGAAGAAGCAGAGCCAGAATGCTCCTTAGCGGCAAGGATGGCGCGGCTTCACTTCACATCCTTTAGACTTGTCGTCAGGAGAGCGTAGTCCCTGGAGGGGACACTTGCTTGGCCAAGTGAAGGAACCGGGAGAAAGAGGAAGGCCCTTGACCTTCCTCAAACACAAGAAGAAATGTGCAGATGGCACAGAACCAGATATTGGTTTGTTCTGTTGTAGTAGGGTCTCCAAATGGCAAAACTGGCTCAACGGCACTTAACAATAACAAGTAGAGCCCTCCGCTGGCTGTGAGCTTTGAGTGGCCGTCTAAGAAGCAGCTATTCGTGTCTCCCCAAGTGGAAGAAAGAAGAGTAAAGGAAACCAAAGACTCAAACAGGCCAAAGACTATTGGACCACGTGTCCCACAGCCTCTACCACTTGACACTGGAAGAAGGAGATGATGCCCTGCTGCCAATACTGACCGCGCTAGGTGAAAGCATAATAGAAAGAGAGAACAAACTGCAAAATCACTTTTTAAAAAGGAGGAGCGGGAACCAGGCTCCCTGAACCCCTGAGATTGTGGCCCTCAGCCTGAACTGGAACCCCGAGGGACCTTTAGCCAAACAAAAGGGAATAATAATACCAGGGAGGAACATACTCTTTAGTACAATCTCCCATACAAGACAAAAAGAACATCCAGAAGGCAGTAAAGATGGGTGAGTGGAAACAGGGATCCCAGTGAGCAAGCACGTGGGAAGAGTGCTGTTACATGGAAGGGATCGCACTCAGTGTCACCAAACGGTGTGTAGAAGTTGTCGAATGGAAGAATTAATTTGCTCTGCAAACTTTCACCCACACCACAACAAAGAGTTCCAAAACAAAACAAGCACACAAAAACTGTTACATAAACATTTGGTGCAGAGGGAGAAGAAATTCTTTCCATTCTAATGTGGCAAGATCTCCAAAAATATTATGGCTAAAGTAAAAATTTTTAAAAAACAAACTCAAAATTATTAATACAAAATCTAGGGACACACTCAGATTTCATTTAATGAGTCAGTGTTAAGATGATGAAGCACGTTTGGGGGTGTTTCTCAAAAAAAATGGTTTAGTTTTGTCAAAGACTAAACCTGAAGAAATCTCTATGCAATAATAGCTTCTGAAAGGAAGTTCACTAATTGTGTTAAACCCAAGGGGTTTGTTTAGCAAAGATGTGATTTTGTGTTTACCCAGAGTCAAAAATATTTTTCCTCTTAGGTTGTTAGTAGTAGTGCCCATCTCTCTTCCTTAAACTCTTGGCCAACTGGGGAGAATCAAATGCCAACTCAAGTTGAGTGTGTACCAAATATTTCAGCTGATTCCATTGGCAAGAAAATTCAACTTCTTGTGAGCCTTACAAAGGTCTCTATTTTTCCTTTTTTCTCTAGGGTTATCCAGCTGTAAACCAATGATCCCAGCAGGACTTATCTCCTAGCTACAGTAGAGGAAGTACTATATTCTAGTCCCCAAAGGCATCTGATTTAATCCCCAATTACTCATAAAGGCATGTTGCATAATGCTTTATTCATCTCAGATGGCTTCTGCATAAATGATCCCCCCATGATTTGCAACAGCCTCATGAATTTAGTAAGCCTTATTTCATCCCCACAGGGTAAACAAGGAACTTATTACATACAGAAATGACCCTATCCAATATAATTGCTGTTCTATATGACACACAGGTATGAATAAGACCCATCTTATTGTACAGATTCCCTATTTGGGGGAAATAAAAATACTATTTCATCATACATAGGAAGTATACATTTTTTAAAGTACTTTGTTAACATCAATATAATATCCTAAATATTGAAATCCAGGAGTATATCAAAGGTTCTATATCAGCAGAATTCTTGCCCTGAAAAGATATATGAAAATCTCAACACTAAAAAGAAATATGTGAATGTCAATCACTATTTGTTTGCAGTGCTATTACCGCACTAACCAAGTTAAATCTAACATGCTAGGGCAAAACTCATCATTGCTTTTGATCAGATGTTAGTTTTTGTATAGTTTTGTTGTTAAGAAACTGCCATTATGATGTGAAACTTGTGTTTGCTGTTGTATTTTACGATTGCTCATTTCACCATTAGAACTGACATCACTATGTACTTAATATTTTTTATTCTAGTCTTCCATCGTTGGTATAAACCCCTCAGATGAAAGGTAATGTATACTATACAACTCAAAATTGGGGTTTCGTGAAAGAGCCAGCATATGAACATGATTCCATGCCTGCCTGGTTTATGACCAGGAAACTCCACAAATGTCACTCAGATTAATTGGTGGCTCACAAACTTAGTGAAGTTCCTTCCTTTCCTAGTACAGAAAAATCTACTCTAAAGTCTTCGGGCCCAGCAATGCCTTCTCTTTTGTGAGAGCCGGGTTTTGCCCCCAATTCTCACGGTGGGGCCTTGGCTGAATTAGCTGAGCAGGATTTCCAGAGGTAATTTGTAGATAGGATATTCCACATTCTGGAATGTTAAGGTATAAGAATGTAGAACTTTGGGGCCTAATGTGATTTTGTACCTTAGAACTCCTTTGCACTATTTTTTTTTCCTGGGGGGGGGGGGCTTTTGGTAACTTGCTACCACTATTGAAACCCAGGAAACACAAATTTAGAGTACGTCTAAGCCACGATGTCTATGGTCTGAAAGTTGTCATAGGTTGTACTACCCTGTGCCAGCCACACTGCGTCTGTATTGGAAAGAACCCGAGGCCAGCCCTCACCTCTTCTCCTCAGTTTCCCTCCCCTTCCTCCCCTCCTTTCCTCGTGCTTCTTTTAGCACTGTTTAATGTCTCTGACTATGCAGTTCCATTGGGGAATTTAAAGATATTTTCTAATAGCAAAATGTGACAGCATCTTTGTATACATTGAGATTGAAGCTTTCATTAGCAGATGCAGTGGAAATCCTGGCAATATTTTCTTGTTGGACATGTTCAAATATAAAACTCAGAAATCATACTTACATTGAAAAGTCCAATATTTGAAAAAATGACTGATGAGATAATCCATTTGAGTTTTCTTTTGACTTCCAAAATGACAGCTCAGCATTTTGGATACGAGACCACAAGCTGCACAATTCAAGTACTCTCTGTTTTGTATTCAGGACTTCCATTGCAAATTGCTTTGACTTTTACTAAATGTATCTTGAAAAGGAACATTTATATGGGCTCGTAGAGGTTTGATAAGTATTTTTCTATGGTGTTTGTAAGCAAAAACACATACACATACAAACATATAAAACCCAAGGTCAGTTACAGAAAAGTGATCCAATAAAGAAAAAATCATTCCAACTCATCCTAGAAATTTTGATCGGCATATAGATATGACCTGGTATTTAGACATGAAAGATAAATTGCATGTGTTAGATAAACCAAAGTGAATATAATTTCATCATTGAATTCTGAAATATGTTGAATTTCCAGGGAACACAAATCATTATATTCTTATTGAATAAAATAGTAGGAAGTCTTACTTAGATATTCTTAGATATTCTTCCCCCTTATTTTCCCATCATCCTCTTTTGCGTTTTGTCTTTGCCTCCCGATCTCTGATAGAAGCTGTTGAGTGGTACCAAAAGGTGTGGCTTTGTCTGCAGATTGACAGGCTCTAGGGATCCCTGTGGAGGAAGAGCTAAATTATAATCCTTCGAGTAATTATAATCCTTTATGATCCGAGTTTTCCAGAACTTAAAAAAAAATCCACAAAACACTACAGACACATCCTCAGAAACACACAACATAAATCTTTACATACGGAGCCGCCAACATTCATTTGTCCTCTCAATCAAATAATTAAACCGTGGAACCTTGGGTCGGCAAACAATCATTTCACAATTGCGGCACTGGTATTGAAAGCTGGTGGGCATTTCTAGCAAAGAGAGCCCTGGCTTTGTTTTTGCTTTTCGCCGGTCAGAACTGGAAACATGCTCTTGAGTCTTCAAGATCAAGTGTTTGTGCTGGTTTCACCCATATGTGTGAACAAGTAATCACCCAGTGCAATTTCTGCTTCATCAGCTTACATGTTTGTGTTGTCACAGAAAAAGTGCACCCCCTCTTTGTAACTCCCAAGGAGACCCTGAATACATGGTGTATGTTGTGAAACTTGTTTCTGGTTAATTTTTGTGTGTGATGTGTGTCGATATAAAATATATCTATGTCCCAAAGAAACAGAATTATTAGCAAATCAAAAGAAACTCAACCAATT